TTATCAAGTCATGCTGTATCGCACTTATTCCTCTTTATTGTCCTACAAACGTACCCTTTACCTTTGGTCCTGATGACATAAATCGACATTAAGAATTTAGTGTATTTAATGATAAATGTGGCCTGTTATCAGCATTACATATATCTCTGGACTTTGAAACTGTACTGTTCATATGACTTTAGCGTCTTTAACTAATATCATAAATATGTATCACGTCAATTTTAAATGGATAATATTTTATACCTCAAACTTTGTAAGTGTCCTGATGTGCGTGTTATACGCGATGTTAAGGCCGTATCCGATGTTCAATATTCACTCAGACCTTCAGCAATTGCATGCAGGCAAAAATTAACCATAAACCTAGTTTTGAATTGATTAAACAAATTGAAGTTTGAACATGATTTTGTAGTACGTTTTTTAGTATAAAAATTACTAAATCATTTAATTACATGTGGATATGTTTTGACGTGCATTTTGTTTTGTGTTGACTGAATAAAACATATTTATTTCGCTACAGTGAATGCAGTTACTTCCGTAATAAACTTGGAGGAATTTTTTTAGAATGTCGTCATAAACAAAAGGCCTATTTTAGAATATTTGAGAAGAAAAAAAAACATTTCAAAATACACTTACATAGCAATAAGATGAGATGACCTCTTAATTGGGTCAAAAATTGATGTGATATTTTGTGTAAAATCCGTATCCGATAAATGATTTTAGAAAGTATAAGTTGTAAATAACGGAACTTGGTAGGGACGTAGATGGATTATTATATAAGAGACTAAGTCACAGCGCTACATTGCGGATAATCCTCTTCCGATTAATATATAAGTCTAAGATTTTTTAAAGTTTTTAAGCTCATTGATATTGGCAAATGGATAATCTATTGATGAGTTTGTAGTCATTGAGCCAAATTTCAAAATTACAGCTTGCCTAAAATCTTTTTTTCCAGTACTTAAACACTTGTTAATGTAACTTGGTAAGGATATACGATAAATAGCTTTAGTAGAACAATGCATAAATTTATAACTTAATTACAAAATTGCCCATTGTCTGAAGATTATTAAATAAGTATGTAAATATGCACCAGGTAAAGTCAAAGGAAGTTGGGGCATAAACAAATTTCTAGTATTGGACCATTATGTTGTCACTCAATAAGAAGGTATTTACGGGTTTGAGTTTGTATACAGGTCGGGTATAAACATTGAATGTACTATTGTTACAAAATAATCGACAGAAGATTAAAGGAACGATCATATGACTGAAAAGTTCTTCCGTTATTATATCCTTCTGTTTTTTAATATTTTGCTCAATTTATAGTAAATGATAAAACAAATTGATTTCAATTAAATGTCAAATCGATTTAAAATTATTTATTATAAAGCAATATGCAATCGTTAAAACACAGTTTTATCTAAGATTGATCTAGGACCCATAAGTTGATGTCGTGTTCTACTAACGGATATACATGTATATTTAAAAAAGGTTAAACTCAAGCAACTTATCAAGTGTATAGTCCACTTTTATCTTAATATGTAAATATTTAATGAAATTGATAGTAACGACATCCGTACCAACAGGGGACCAGCACAACATATCCGTTTGTATTGAGGTCAAATACTTGTGTTACAGTTAAACGAATTAAAAAAAGACCCCTAAAATCGTTATGTTTGCCGTATGCAACGTATCTAAGGTAATATATCAATGAGATGTTGAAGATGGTAATATCGAATTCAAAAGAAAAATATTGAAATTGAAGAAAGTCATTATTTATGTATCTATTTGTATAAACTGAGAACGCTTTTGGAGTCATGTGCTGGAGTTATATTTTCACATTAACATATACGTTCACATTTCTATAATAGATTCGCTTCAAAACAAGATTTAAGTAGCTCCTAGCAGTTCAATGCTTATTCAGACCCATTGTCAAGAAACAAGAACCATTTAAGCATCCGTGGGAAAGTGTATCATTTAATTTTAAACAAATTGTGTTTGAATAAAAAGAATATTACAGGTATAGACAACAATGCTGAAAATCTGCAGGGTTGTGTATACTGGTCTGTTTCTGTACTAGTGAGTAGGGATGTCATCCGGAGTTCGGATATCCGAAAGTTCGATTCACGATTCTGTGTCCGGAGCTGATTTTCAGATCCGGATATTCGTATAAAATATTTCAGAATATTGAGATGAAAGACTTGTCCCAAAATGTGATTAATTCATTCCTTGAGATAATGGACATGGTAGACATGGTATTGACATCTCTATATTGTATTAAAATATTTGAAATGAAAATACACATCGTCATTTATAATCTCTGCATACCAGTAAAATCAATAATTACGTCAGGTTTAAATATCGCACATGTTGAACATTATATCTGTATCAACTTCTCACTTCCCCTCAGAGCTTGCTCGTCGCTGAACAGGCACAGGACGAAGCAGAAGATTTGAAGACTTGGGATGGCACAAAAGCTTGTACAGCGGACCAGCTGCCGATGTCCTGACAAAGGCCGAGGGGAGTGACCCTATAAAGTGGAATAAGACGACGAGGATGGTGTGCTAGGGTGCTTGAGACCCTTGCACGGATAGACGGCTTGAACGGCAGGAATTTTGCTGGCACCAACAGTCCTTTTATGGGCTACCCATTCATATTGTTTCAGGTTACTGTACATTTAGCTTCTAATTGGCAGCCGTACAGTGATTTACTTTTGGCTCAAAATTTATATCTTTGGCTAATACACAGTGGAAATTGCATGGAGGTAAATTATCACCACTTTGTGCTTAAAAATTAACTCTTTAAGGGCATAACTGTTGACATGTCTGGGGTCCGTACTCGACAGCGAAAGCTGCATTTAGTGCCCTTCATTACTGTGAAGCCATAAATGTCTTCGCAGTGTATTTGCGGTAAAATACATCGCACATCAAATTAAGATACAAATAACGTACCAGGGAATAATGCAGGGTTCTGTTTGATCTTAAAAATGTATTCCACCTGGGTTTTTTTTGTTTTGTTTTGTTTGTTTGTTTGTTTGTTTGTTTGTTTTTTTTGTTGTTTTTTTTTTTGTTTTTTTTTTTGGGGTTTTTTTTTTTTGGGGGGGGGAGTTTTTTTTTACTGATGAACACATAAAATGTGTGAATGTCAAGTAAGTTTTGGCATCTTCTTTAAAGATTAGGTTCCAACAGCCAGGACTACATGTGTGTAATCATTAAAGATTGGCAGTTTCTTTTGAAAAGCCGGCTGCTTACATGTCAAAGGTGATCGTGTGTAAATTGTATGTGTGTTATTGAACAATGGCAATCTTATATTTAATTTAATTACGGGTTTATTTTGTTTTAACAAATGTGAGCAGGGGTTACTGTGTATTATAACACGAATTAAGGAATTTTGACAATCGGCGATGAATTTCATTATCGTTTTATTTAAAATCGTGAGTACCTTATACGCACCAAATTTATCGATAACAGTCAAATCTTTTATAGAAATGATAAATTCCATAACCTTCAAATTTTGATACGTAACATTCAATTAAAAAGGAAGAAAAACGACACCCTTACACTTAAAAAATGTTGCGAACAATGGTTACGTCATATCAGTCAACTAAGAATAAAACAAGGATCTGAACATCCAAATGTAATCGCATGTCTGATTAGGATATCCAGATGGCCATTTTGAATTCAGACAGGAGGTCAGGATTAGGGATTAGGGACCATTTCTTATAATGTAAGTCTATGGGAAAATCAATGTGACTGTCTGACAAGGAAGTATAATTTTGTTTGTTTTTTATTTGAATTGTATCAAATATAATCATGCAACTACTCAACTGAATTCCAAATTCTGTTGTGTAAAAGACGGTGCAGGATAATTAAAGCATAGCATGTTGTAAGCCTTGAAATTTAATTGCAAAATTGTTATCAGTGATTAGTTTTGTTATCATAAAGTGATAACAAATTCATATCACGTTATTTAAACAGCCTTGTTACCTTTGCTTATTGTCATAGCTCCCAGGAGATATTGACAGAAATGAATTAATAGAAAAAAAATGTTCTGAGTAGGAAAGTATGTATCTAAGTTGATTTTTATACAGTGCGTGTACCTGGTCGTGTAGAAACTTTACTTAGGTAAGTAAAATGAAGTTTTATGGGGTTTCTTTAATGGATAGAAATAGTTGTTCGTGAACTTCAATAACATTTACAGAGCTAAACAATACTTTGTGTCATAATTTTGATAAATAAAAATACATAAATATATGCAATATAAACACATAATAATATTAGATAGAATTTAATTATTAGAACTTATTATTATTATTATGTAATCAATTGATACTATTGACTAACTAGTTCTTCTGTTACTATCATAAACAAAGTGACATAATTTGTGTGGTCCAAATGTAAGTGACAAATGCAAAATGTATGACAAACGATCAATTACTATAAGTATACCATTTTGCTATCTGAAAAAAAAACTGTATCGTTTTGTGAATGAAAAGACTTTTTGCTACCAAATATTCATCAAGACACAAACAATGTATGTCATTATAAAATGCGCAAAAACTTTGTTAAGGGAACTGCACGGATGTTTTTAATGACATAACACGACTAGAAATATTTTCCGATACCTGTGTACAATTCAATATACGTCTCGACTTGTGTGGAAATGTTCGAGGCCCTTTTTGAAAACTTTTTTTTCAAATGTCAACTAAATGTCACCTAAATATAACGTTTTTTCGGTTTTCACTATAATTGGGCTAAAATATGGCACAAAAATTATTACTCAAATACATTTTTAAGGTTATTCCTTTATTATACTTAAGTTGCAGATTCTTTTTTCCATTTGATGTGCTTCCCTTGATCTATGTTAAAATTTCGAATTCAACGTTTTGGTTTTTTTTGTGTTAGTGGAACTACTTTAGTTAAAAGTGAATAATCATTATAATAATCAAAACCTTTTTACAACCATTTTCTGTTTTGAATTTCATCAGACGTTTTTTTAATACAATGCATAAAAATGTATTATATTTGATCTAGACTTTGCAGTTATGGAAAGTCCAGTCGGGGGAGGGGAAATAACAGGCGAGCATGTAACTGCAAGCGATAGTGTTGATAAAGTCGAGGAAAGTATTCCAGTTAAACCGGTGCTAAAAACTTTATGCGACTTTTGTAAAAAAAGAGGGGTCGAAATTGCAGCTTTGAAAAGATGCCAAACTTGTGACAAATCGTATTGTGATAATTGTATTAAGGTGCATCACTCCAAAAAGGCGAACCGACAACATGTTCTAAGCAAACTTCCTGTTAACGCTGTGCAAGAAGCATTCCATTGTTCGATATGCAAGAACATAGCAACGTCCAGCTGTTGGGAGTGTGAAGAGCTCTATTGTGTTCAATGTTCTAAGACACATTCAACTCAAAAAGCAACGAGAGGCCATAAATTATCAAGCCATGTCGGACTTTCAGAAAAGTATAGGTGTGAAACATGCAACTATAACGGTCCGGCGTTAAATCTGTGCATTGATTGCGATGAGGTCATGTGCAACGGTTGCTCTAACGTCCATAGTAAACAGAAAGCTACTAGGCAACATAAAGTTGTACATGCTTCTGAAACTACTAGCCACGTATGCAAATCTCCTATGGAGGATGGAATAAGGTCCTTACCGAAAAAATCATGTGAATCCAGTCCGCTTATCTTGCGCAATAAAGGCGCAGTTAAACAAAGAAAAAGTCAGTCTGCACATAAAGTCGTTAAAGGAAATATGCATAGTAATATTGATGCGTCAAAGGAGAAGTAAGTTATCGTAATATACTCTCTATTATACCAATATCTGAAACAGACTATAGAATAATATAGAATAATCTTTAATAATTTACAATAATTATCATTGAAGTTTAATTAGGAGATAACTAATCTATTGTATTTATTTACAGATTAGCTATAACTTACCAACAGGAGTTGAAAGTCAAGGGAGACAATAATCCGGTAAGACCACCCTTTAAGATAAAGTGTATTTTTTTGTTGAAAAAATTACATTAAAATCAAAATGATATACGTATAATAAAATAATGATAATAATAATAATAATAATAATAATAATAAATATTATCATTTTTATTATTATTATTATAATTTCCATTATAACTGACGAAAATAAATGCGGAACTATTACATTTCGTACTGACAGACACAACCCGGGAAACCTTCAATACTTGAACCAGCAGACATAGACTCAATCTACCTTGCATGGGATCCTCCGCCAGAATGTTTTGAAGATTGCAGTTATCAGATTAGATTCAAAGAAAAAAGTGTGGGTGCAAAATGGTCGTTTTATCAACATTCGACATCATCGTGCTCATTGCGGTTGACTGGCTTGAAATCAAATACGGAGTACATATTTCAAGTACGAATGATATGTGATGAGATCGAGGGACAATACAGTCCGCAAAGCGATGACGTGAAAACTTCGATGTCAGCAGCGCATCGGGTTTTAAGCTCTATGTATGACGTTCAAGTACCAGATATCAAAATCCAGTTGAAAAAAGTACCTATACAAGAAAATCGTAAAGCTAGGGACAATCATGGAAAAACAAGGAAAGTAGTTTTAGGTTCGTATATATATATAAACTAATTAATGTTTTATAATGTCTATTTGCTTGTATGAACATGTCCATCACATTTGGAAAAATATAATAAGTACCAATAAATGGCGGTACTTTTTGAGGTACTTTATATTTAACAAAAATGGACAGGGAATACGAGTTGTCACAAAATACCTTGACTTATGGCTCGTTCTTGAAAACCATCAATTTTGTTTTCAAAGAAATTCTTACAATTTTACAAACATTCTCAACCTAGGCCTTCGTGCATTTGCAATCTTCGAGAGTTGAAAGCTTTTTATTTTTGCTAGTCTTAAAATTTATTTAAGAGTACAACTTTGCGGTGACGTTGTTACCTTATGCACGAAATGAACATGTCTCTTTTTTCGTGAAACTCAAAATGCAACAGGCATGACACACCATACACTTTTTAGAAAATCGAGAAGCAGTTGATTTTGATAGAACTTTTGTCTTCGTTGCAGCATAATAAATCTACATTTATCTTTAAAACGACTTAAATATACATTTTTGCATTGGTTACTCAGGTTGCTTTTTCATATGTGGATAGCTGTATCTAGACACCCATCTAACACTAACGTGGCTCATATCTTAGAGTTTGTGGAAAATTTTATGTACCGATTCTTTACTTGTTTGTTACATCTTTCTATGTAACTTGATAGTCTTTGTTGATAAAATAGCAATTTCACTACGATTGCAATGGAGTCCGCCTCAGCTGGCCACCTTGTCCAAGATTTGCCACAGACAGTTGTTCTACCATTATGATATTGCACAAATTTTTATCTTCTGTAGCCATAATCTTTATTAAAGAGCGCCGACCCTCTCGTCTTTATAAATTTTTAAATGCCTTACTAACTATATAAAATACTTACTCTTATAGATTTATGAAGCCTTTTTAATTTCTATTCTTAACTAGGAGAGTAAACATAAAGTAAAAAATGTGTTTTTTGATAAAATGCATTTGAAAACAACAATATGTTTTCCAACTTAAAGGTGGTGAACATAAGTCTTATGTCAAAGAAAAAACAATCATGCTTGTTGGAAGTTCGGGAACTGGAAAAAGTACATTGGTTGACGGTATGATTAATTACATCCTAGGGGTAAACTTTAATGACCCATACAGACTAAAGCTTGTTGACCTTGAGGAAGAAGAAAGAAGTACAAAAGAAAATCAGGTGGGTGGATTTACCTTAAAAAACTTCAACTTCCAATGTAAAAATCTTACAAAACTGTTCTAAGTTACAATACATGTGTTTTGAATACTTAAAATAAGCTCAGTAGGCCAAATTTTACGTACCCTTTTCTTTTCCTTCAAAACTATTTCTTACTTGACATTTATCAATACATTTGTCTGAACTATATACACCGGTAAATGTATTTAGAGCATTGTAATCTTAAATAAGAAATGAGAATAAATAATTGCATATTCGAATATAAAATCCAGGTAAGAAGGTTTGTTTAAAAAGAATTTTCAAATTCGTTTAGGTAGAACTTAAAATCTCTTTCAAATTCTATTAACTTTATCTTAATATATGCATTCTAAATGGTTAGTGTAGGCGTGCTCGTTTAAATTGCGTGCCAAAAATTGTCAGGCATAATTGGTCCGGATTAAAAGTATGTAGCAATCAAATAGGTGATGTCTCTTATCATTTATTGGTACAAATCCCCGTGTAAGTTCGTTACAACTATTTCGATTCCGAAATGGAATTTGTTAAAGAAATGTTCTTATAGATAGGTTTTAAAATATCTTAATATCTTAAACAGCCTTGCTTTAAGACATAAATTTACCTTCTCAATATCAAAATATTCTATACGAATAAGCATGTCTGTATTACGATTTTGAAATTTATTTTGCAATCACGACAATGCTGTAGTGTACTATGAATAACAATTTTGTTCGATTAAAAAAAAAAATAACATAACAAAGTCGTTATTTTGAAAAAGAAATACGTTTGAATGTTGATTCCCTTCAAAAAAGAAGTTTCTTAAAACAATTGAAAATGGACTTGTTTACGGTTGTCGTACATACAAGTTAATGATAAACTTTCTAAGAATAAAATACATAATGTCGTTTTAATAAACTTATTAATGTCTGTTGTCTAACAGTTTGGTTTTCAAAACGTTTAAACTAATAGTAACTCAGACAGTATATTTTAACAATATCACTAGACTGTTAAAACAGTTCCAATATTCGGATTTTCAAATTCTGTATGCCGATTGTAAGTCACTTGGCGAATAGAAATCGAATATTCGAATATGGCAATGCAAAATGAAAATTATGAAAACGGTAATGTAAACTATGAAAAAGAATACGTTATTTCTTCGCAAAGTAATAGCTGAAGATTATCCTTTCTATTTCAAGGCCTTTTCACAGACACAGTGGATCACTTGTTATGTCATAAATCCAATTAAAGGAAGTCGTCTCGACTATAGGCTTAATATAATAGACACCCCAGGATTTGGCGATACTAGAGGAATCGAAAGGGATCGAGTAGTAACCGAGCAAATCAGGACACTTTTTTCCAGTCATGGTGATAGTGGTGTTGTCTTTATAGATGCCGTATGTTTCCTTATTAAAGCACCAGATGCAAGATTAACACCAACTCAAATGTATATCTTCAATTCGATAATGTCACTTTTTGGTCAAGATATAAAAGACAACTTTTGCATGCTTGTTACATTTGCAGACGGTAAGCCCCCTCCAGTATTGGCAGCACTGAAAGAAGCTAAACTGCCATGTGATGATTTTTTTCCATTTAATAACTCTGGTCTCTTTGCTGAAAATTCAGGTGTTCAAAGCTTTTCGCAGATGTTTTGGGACATGGGTTGCAAAAGTTTTAAAAGATTTTTTGACAATCTTACTAAAATGGAGACAAAAAGTTTGCAACAATCAAAAGATGTTCTACAGCAACGTCAGTTAATAGAGGTAACCATTGATAATCTTCTTCCAATGTTAGACGTTGGGCTGGACAAAATTGAAGAATTGCGTAAAGAAATAAAAATCATTGAGCAGTCTCAAACAGAAATAGACGATAATAAAGATTTTACATACGTAGTATTTGAAACACAGCATAGGAAAATTGGACTCCCTGAAGGAAGACATGTAACAAATTGTTTAAATTGTCATGTTACATGCCATAAAAATTGTGCCTATGCTAATGACGAAGACAAGAAAAAATGTTGCGTAATGGCAGCAAGTGGTTGCTGTACACAATGTGCCAAAAAGTGCTTTTGGACTACACACAGAAACACACCGTACATATTTCAGTATGAAACTGTTAAGAAGCAGAAAACATACACAGAGAAAGAAAAGAAATATCGTAGAGCTGAAAATGAAAAAATGACAAAAAAGAAAGTCGTGAAAAGGATGCATGAAGAACTTTGTGTTATTGAAGAAGATATCATGAAACTAGTGGAAAAGATCAATGAATGTAATAATATTTTAAAAGAAATTGCGCTAAGGCCAGACCCACTCAGTGTGGTCGAACATATTGATCTGTTGATAGAGAGCGAAAAATCAGAAAAACGTCCAGGATTCCAGTCTCGAATTGCTTCGCTTCAAAATTGCCGGAGAAGAGCTACCATTGATAAAGACATAGATCGATTCAAGAGAAGCGTTACAGACACAACAAAGATTACCACTGATGAGGTAAATTTACCAGCGGAATCTTCGGATAGTGAAAAAACAAAAAGAGTGTTTGATTTCATGTCACACATTTTTTCTGTCCAGTTTTTGTCTGATTTTCTGTACAAAAATGATTGAAATGATTTCACTGAGCAGTCCTAGGTAAAAAAACTTTTCCCTTGTAAAGAAAAGATAAAAACCGTGCTTTGGTAATTTGACCCACGCAGGTATAACAGTTGACATTGTCTCGTTTTAAGATAAAGATGCCTTATTTCTTCAGATGCGTCAAAAATACGACAAAGAACATCCAAAGAAACAATAACGAAGGGCACGACAAATAAATATATGAATTGGCATCAATGACTGAAAGGGGCAGATATAAACTTTAGGCTTGACAAATGTCAATGGTTACCTAGGAATAATGACATGTTTATTACATGGAAAATATTTTCTGAAAATTCATTTAACCATCGTGAAATACTTTACCATTGTGATATACTTTATCTTTTGTAGTTTGCACTGTAAATGTTTAAAGCTTTTATATTGTTAATTGATTTAGTAATTGTAAAACAATAAACATTCACTTAATGCCTTAAACTGAATCTACATACTTTACTATGTTATGTTGATGTTCCTTTATTTTTTGCTGTATGCCATTCTAGTAATTTGGATTTCGTTTTTTATTCAAATCACTTGTAAATGTACATGTATTTACAATTTCATAATATGCGTGTGTAAGTTAAAATGACATTGTTTAATATATTTCCTGCATGCATGGTAATGTATTCGTATTGATCGTTTAATAATGTGTGTGTGCGCGCACTGGCGAATGTGTGCATTAGGAGTGTGTGTGTGCGTGTTTGAAATTGACATTGTGTAATCTATTCCTTGCGTGTATTGTGATGTATTCTTGATTCCTTATCATTAATTGTTAATATTAATCTTGTAAAGGCTCAGTCATTGAAAATTTAATGTAAAATTATAGGAATTTGCTTGCTTTTAACACAATTTGAAAGACATCAATAATAAAACTAGCATATTCTTCAATTTGACTTGTAATGCATCAAACCATGTTAATGTTTTCCCTTATGGGGGCGTACCAGATATTTAGCTGAAAAGAACATGTACCTCATTTCGATTTTAGCCAAAACCCTGGAAACGGTACTTTAATTAATGAAAGTATAAATGAATTAATGAATGAACGATCGAATGAACGTAGGAATGAATGAGTAGATAAAAATATGAATGAATGAATAAATAAATGAATGATTTAATGAATGAATGAATGAATGAATGAATGAATGATTGAATGAATGAATGAATGAATGAATGAATGAATGAATGAATGAATGATATATTCATGTCAAATGAAAGTCCAACTATCCTTTTATGGAACAAGTTTTCGCTTTCGAGAACAAATAATGGACATATTTATAGTACTGTCCTAAACAGTTTAGTTATTTTAATTGACCCTCCATGCAATTTCCACAGAGTTTATGTCAAAAATTTTAAATTTTAACCGAAAAGGCTCATACGCTTACTCAGCCTATACCCCTTCTTACTTAATTTGTAATGCCACTATCCATGACTTCATTCAGGACCTCGGGAGCTGGTCTGAAGGATACAAGTGTCGGTTTTCTTTTTCGCCGTCCCAAGTTTGTTTTCAAATCTTCTGCCGATGTCTCCTCGGCGTGCATGAACTGATGGATGAGAGAGATTGATACGAGTAGTAGAATTGAACAAATGGAGGTTAGACCTGATAAGTGTTGTTTTTGCCTACAAAGGGCACTGCCGTCCAAGCAGTCCCTTCGAACAAGGGACTCATGCACCCTTGTTTACTTCCCCATCGTCTTTGTCTACTTGTCCTTGGCTTCAATTAGGACATCAGCACCACAACTCCAGCTGTAGAACGCATGCCAGCTTGCCGTTGGATCTTTAATCAGCTGTTGATGCCCTGCATGTGTCTCTCTACGATGTACACGTACCGATGTTTGAAAGAGAATATTAAATATTTAAGGGCGACAATTCAAACAAAATGCTTACATCATTCAGTCATGCAGAACCTGCAGATAAGGTGACCTTTGAAGATGTCAAACTTGACAAATCGGTCATGAGCGCTGCAACAGCGGGAGTAATCAAATACCTTTCTTACATGTAATTCTCAAAAGGCTTTCTTTATAAACTCTATCGTCAAACATTGTACTATGAGGTTCGGTAAACAGGAGTTCTTATGGGTACAAATAATGCACTCATGTTTGCCGATTTCTTTTTATTTTGAATTTTATAATGTTAGTTATCCACATTTAGTATGAGACGTACCCGGTGCAACATCTTACGGTGTATATGTATCTCAGTTAATTACATTCGCTGAAAATGTTAGTACTTCGTTTTCTGTCAACAACAATAATATTCACACAAAAATCTATGATGGCATTGATTTTGGTATTGTAAATTATCCACATTCAGATGGAGACGTTCCCCATGCAACATCTTACGAGGTAATGGAAATAAGATATATATGATTGTTATTGTATGTTCTTAATGTGTAACCTTCTTTAAATAAAGATATTATTATTATTATTATTATTATTATTATTATTATTATTATTATTATTATTATTATTAGGTATATGTATCTTAATAACATTTGCCAGAGCTTGTAGCCACGTTCACGTTTTTTAACGAGTGAAATATTATCATAACTAACATGCTTCACAACAGGGCTACCATAAATTACGGAATTTTTTCTTTTTGCAAAATTGTACGATCGTATTTCGATTTAATTTCGAAATTCAAAAGTGATTTAAAAAAAAATTCGATTATGGATTGGCAAAACAATTAAGAAAATTACCGCAAAGGCATGACAATTTACGCCCGAATGCAAATTTCCTTTAAGAAAATAAAATAAAAAGTAATCAAACTAATTTTTAAACAGAGAGGATACCCATTTATAACATTTATCAGCAACGTTTTATTCAATTATCAATATTAAGATCTATATTGATACAATTTGCCAAAGTAATAATGCTCTTGTCACATTAATACTTAGTGACAATTATTTATGCCACAGCTTTTGCTATGGAGTACATACACTACACGACACCAGTCCTGTCCTTAAAAAGCTAACTTCGAAGCACATAGTATAATTGATTATTAACCTCATGTTAGGGATTGTTTACCCTCGCCACCGGAAAGAGACCATACATAACTCCATGCAATTGTCACGGAGTATATACACTGACTGAAAAACAACAATAATGTTTGTTTTTAATGGTATTTAAATGATAAAAATTTAAAAAATAAACATATCAATAATATAATACTAGAAATGTAAAAGCACAAAATATAAGCCTAAGATTATCAAAATGCTAAGTTAACAAATAGTTTTCTTTTTTATTATCTCCCTTTACATCTCACACAAACATCCATCTTATGTTCCTTATGTGTACAAAACGGATAATTCTACTTCTCAGTGATGATACATGCATAAAATCTATGTTCTGCATGTTGTATGTTGGAAGAAAATACTTCTAAAACATGTACATGTATACTACATTGTATATAAATCTGTGTACATGTAAACTGTGCAAAAAACCTACCCATCCCCTCCAACCCACTGGGCCCAGCCATTTTTTTTATTTCAGAAATATCATTTGGAACTTATTATATTGGTTTTTCTTCCTTTGAACATATTATTTGTGTTAATGTATAATAAAACAGCTACATCCACTTTACCTCAACCCTTCAACACGACATAAGTCTTTCAATATGAAAAAAATATGACAACAAGTAAAAGGGCACAGGTGAAGGGGACTTGAAGTACGGGGAAGAGGAGGGTCAAAATTATAAAAAAATAACACTTTTTAAGCAATGAAAAATGACTATCTTTCCAATATGTCTACCATTTCCTATCATAAAATTATTACATGAACAGCGAAAATTAGAAATAGCTCTGTTATATGCTAAAATATAAATTTAAAGATCGTTCAATGGTAAATAAAAGCATTTTAAACTATAAATGACATTTTTGATAAGTTTAATTAAGTGAAGATTTACTATACCAAGTTGGAGCTACTAGCTGTATTTAAATTACAATCATTTATAATTATTGTTTATAAACAACTTAAGTGTTTGTAATACAGAGGCCCGGATGTTTGTTATCATAGTCACAATATGTCCTGTTTCGGCTTATGAATATGAATATTACGCAAACAGAGACCATCGTATTGACAAAATATTCTTTATTTTGTATTTGGTTTCTTCAGTTATTAAAATATTTAAAACAGTTATAAAGTGTCAGATCGGATAAATCAGTTAAAATGTTTGCTTTTTTATCAAAATATCTTAAGTTTGAAATATGTGTTCAAGCAATTAAAACCAGTACCCATGTGATACTTCTAACTTTTGCACATTTATGCTTATTAACTGAGCAAAAAGTTCATATCAGTAGAAAAGTTAAGAATTTGTCGGGAATGCGGACCTCCGACCTCTTACTTCTCTTGCGAGTGTCTTACCATTGGACCTCACATATAGGCTATGAGCGTAAGTAATTTCAGGTAGGTAACACAGTTACGACAGATTTATTTCGAGAATCAACACATACGACATGTTTTTCAACACAAAAATCTTTGATATTTTCAACAAATAACAATAACGTTCGACTTACAGATCACTTAAAGATCAAGCCCCCCCTAATCTAAACGAAATTTCTGAAAATTTCATTTAGAATTTACCTGTTACATTCAGTTTATAAAACGAGTGGGACAGTCTTTTTATATTTAAAGGCAGATTTTAAATTTTATCCAAAACATTTTCCAATATAAACTGTTGGTCAAACATCATTTACTCCCTTGGAACGCGAGTAAAACAATTATTTCCTTATCAAAGTCGTCAAACTGTAAATATCCTTAACAGTGATAAAATCTAATACATTCTTTACACTGAATATATAATTAATATAAAACAAGACACAAGTAGGATTATGGCTTATTATTGGTAGCATAATCATATCGAAAAAACAAAGAAAGAATTTAAATGAATTAATATTTTGAACAATTCGTAAGAAATAAAATTTGAAAATACTTATATGAAAACAGCTGCGAATAATAAGTCAGGCATCTGCGTAAATCCAATAGAAACCCAGTTCAAACTTGAAAATTCTAATTTTGCAGCATAGATTTGATATTATGTAACAAGTTTCTCTCCAGAAAAGCATAAAGCCTATGCATTAAGTC